CGATACATCCGGGCACGCAATTTGTAAGACCGCATCCGGACTTCTACAGGAATTTGTACGGTGCGTCCCATCTCGGCTCCGGTGACATATCTCTGCTGGAGACGTATTCGAGGACTCTTGGTGGACTTGGCGGCGTAATACCACCATCCACGGCCCCGAGCATACTTACGTCCTCGTCCTCGTCGATCTCCGCCGCCGGTAACGTGAAACCTTTTACGATCAACGGTGGTAGCGGGGCGGCGGGCGGTACCCCCGCCGGATCGGCAGTTTTACTGACTACCGCGTCTTCCGGTTTGTCGCCGTCGTCGTCGTCGACGGCGTCGTCGGGCGGGTCCGATCAGTCACCTCATCCGGCGGGCGGCGGTCTGCCCGCGACTCAAGAACTCAAATCTCCCGGACGGGTGTGACTCGACGAAGCGACCGATCGCTAAAGAGACGTTTATCGCGGGCGCGCGCTGTGCATCGGCGGGCGTTTTGTGTGGTGTGGCTGACAATAATCAGAGACTACAATCTTGTAATTAGTGTACAGTATAAAATGGAGATGATGAGATATACTGCCCCAACCCGCTTCCTCGTTTCCTAGTCTTTTCATTTTTTTTTCTCTTTTTCAATGTCATCGTCGATGTTTCTTTTATCTCTCATACCCTTCCCTTCTTTCCTTCGACTTTTTATCCAAGTTTTATTTTCCGTACTCAATTATTCTCGATAAAAAGGGAAAAACTCGTAGTACCGATTACCCATAGTGGCTCTATCGCGGTATAACCGTACAACATCTAGCGTGTCAACTCGACAGTACTATTACACACACATATAAATATTATAAATATCTAAAGATATACGATAATATAATTAATATTATTTATGCGTTTGTAAATAGTAGAGAAAGGCCCAGTAGAGGAATCGTCCGGCCAGTGTATGTATTGTATGTAGAGTAGACACTATATTACTAGCCTACCTGAGATCATAATTCATATTAATGACGATTATTATTATTATGATTATTATGATTATTATGATTGTTATTGCAATGTTTATAATATTATCGATTCACGTCGACTCGGTCGAGCATGACGAGGTATGGGTCGTTAATCGCGGCGACAGATTGCGAGGGATCGTCGGAGTGTATAAAGATTCTTGGAGGTCAGTCTTTGATTCCTCTTCTTGTAAGTATCTCCTCTCTTATTTATTTTGCTAAAAATTATTGGCTCGTGATAATTTTTCGCAAGAGCGGATAAAGGCTGCCAAATCGCGAATCGATGCACAAATATGACATCGCTCGCAATCTGCTGCGAACACAATTTCCATCGCGTCCCGTCGTCGTTGCGTAGAAAAGGAACGTTCTAAGTTACACGAAGGTGAAGCCACGGGCACAACGGCTGTCAACATATCATGTCATGTCGAGAGTGAACGATCGCCATCACCTTTTAGTCATTCGTGTCCAAAATTTCACGCGAACTCGCTGATGCCACACTGACATGTGACATCAATGCAGACTGTGTCCTTTCGCAATAAACGAATCATTACGGAAAGCAAATGAGTTATCATTTCTGACCTACAACTTTCCGCCAACCGCATCAAATATTTATATCTGCATACCAAGTATTTATATATACATACCAAGTGTTTATATATTCCTCTTTACATAAGTCTCTAAAAAAATTTATTTTTTTCATATAGAATTATTGTTTTTTTTTTTATTAAATTGCTAATTGGAGACACTCCATCTATGTATCGAATTTATCGAACGACTTAATAATTGAATGCAATTCAATATTCTTGGGCATACGCCGCTTTTCCGAGTCGGGTAACATGTTGATTATTATGCCATTCGAGTCGAGAGCCTAATCGTGCATCGTGTGCAATTCAGTAGAGACAATACATGAGGAGGCTTCTAGTCGACGCAGGGGACCATCCTTTTAGAACGGTGAATGAATATGAAACGTTCTCATTCTCGGAACCGGGACGGTCGGGATGTACTTATAAAAATGCAAAGCGACCGACTTCTGGGTGGTTGCTGGACAAGCTTGGTTATTAGTAAACATTTAAATCGACAATTCCTATAGCTAAGCGGAGAACGTCGCTTTCGTCCTGTCCTCTACCTTCTTCCTCTCTTTCTCCACCTTTCTCCGGCGCTCTTCTTGCCTCTTGCTCTTTCCACAGAGTTAGAGAAGAGAAGGACGATGAGGGCTACCGCGTTCGCGGTTTACGGTAGAGGAAACAAGAAATCAACTCGCGGGACCACCCGCTACGGCCTGGGGTGCACCAAGCCGTAGATCCCAAGGAGGTCCATGCCGTCTTCATGAATCAACTCGTTTCTGAATCGGCATAAACCTTCAAAGAGTTGCGGAGCGTTCCTCCCCGTCCGCCAGATTCAAAGTTATGTGAGTATCGGTGTCCTTTCGTATTCTCGGCTTCTTCAGCTGGTGGTCCATACGAACGCACAGTCCTCAAAAATGCACTGAAGATCGGGACTGAAGAAAAATTGTTACAAACGACATAAATACACGACTATCGGGAGAATATTCAATATTAAATTACGAAATAAAAATACATAAATAAATGCCAATTCTTTTATTTGACATAATTTCTCACAAAATTAACGAAATCTTAAAAAAAATAAGTATTATTTTTAAGATCAAATAAATGAGGAGATGTAAATGCATAATTAGATAACTATTCCAATAACGAAACATTTTATGTTTTAGAATTGGCAAGCTATGTCGTAGCGCGTTATGAATGCCCTAAATGGTGTTTAAATCGTGTAATAAAACCGTTTTATGTTACTGTAAAGATATCTGGGTAAAAATGTCGATGCGTGAGAGGAGAAGGTAACATTATATAGGTAGCTAGTACCCGTCGTAGATAAACCGAGCCATTATTACTCAGTACAACGGTTCAATTCTAAGATGATCATGCTACTAAGGGAGACATGGCTATCTGCTGTCTGGATGATGTATTTTATAATGGCGCGCAGACGAACGATAATCGGCTACTTTATTCCACAAATGCATACGGATGTTATATGGTCACTTTTAGTGTTATAGCATTTCCACAGTGCAATAACGAGAAAATGACGATCTTTTTCATTCGTCCATTCTCCTCTTAGCAATAACGCGAGAACCTTCAATGTCCAAGAAACACTGGGATATCGCCCATTTACGTGGGCTATGACGTACTACAGTTAAATTTTATTTCGATATTTTATCAATATTTCCGTGAAATTTATTGCAGTAAAAATAAGTGGGAGAATGAAATCGTAAAAGAAACGTTTCAGTTTTTACGCAATTGTATACTTGTAAAATAAGTAGCTTGCAATCGCAACATACATCCACGGTTATGTTTTAATCGCGATATGGGTAATTCCATTCGCGTTTTTTCAGTCGCTACTTTTTCATTTGCCATTCGCACGTGTAATTTCGTGAACGAAGCTTTTTAGCACTTACAACTTTTCCCGCGTGTAACTTTACCGTTGCGTCGTTATGGTTAATAAAAATTAACAGTAGCTTGCCATGTACAGCCAGCTCACAATGCTTAGGTAGCCGCGCGATTTTTCATATCTGAGAATCGTCATTATATACAACGACATTGCCGGTCATGACATGAATTCTTGCGAAGGACACGGTAAATATCGCAAATGGATACAGGTGCCTGCCACGGTTACTTGCGAGGACTACCCAGAGGGGCAGGCGATAAACTCAACTAAACTGCGTTTTGCGGCGATGCTTTATTGGCTTTTATCGAGTTTTAAGTAGCGAATTCCTTCATGGAAACGCCATTAATTTTACGATGCGGGCATATTTAGCGGCTTCTCGTAAAATCATACTTTGGTCGCGATAAAGTTAAAACATTGGTGGGGGTTTTGCTAGAGCAGAGTTGGAGTTGTAAAAATGCGATAGAAGGGAAAGATTAAGTAGTTGGTGATGTTTTATGTATATATATATATATATAATACATGGGTATATGTATATAAATTCACATATAAAGACACATGTATTTAATTAGTTGCAAAAATATCAATAATTAAACGCAAGAGACGATACATATGTGTAAATATTCAATTAACTGTGCTCACGCTGGTACTACATTTTATAAATAAAACTTCATTATGCAATATTGCAATATACCTACATATACTGTATATATTCATGTCACAATCGTAATACCATTATATAAATTCATTATATAAATTCATCATTATTAATAAAATCTTTTTAATGACTATCGCATATACGAATAATAATATATCATAAATTTTATTTAATAAGAAATAATATTTTCCAGAAAGATTCTTCTTTTATATCAAATAATACGATAATAAATAAAGGGAGTTGCATTTAACCAGACAATCTGTAAAACAGATATGTGACACGTTCTTTTTTTGGCGCACCGCCACGCAAGTGCGTCCCGTGTTGTCGAAAGGTAGCGTATCAGTGTAGGTGGTGAATAATGAATGGCAAAGTCGAGACAACTTGCTGGACCAGCGTCGACGACGTGGATCAGGTCGGCGGTGTATATACGACCGGGGTTAGGAGGCGCAGTTACAGCACGAGTTCCGGGTGAAACGACATGAAAAATTAACGGGTCCGCGTTTTGACATTGCGTCAAACTTTCGTTGTACAGTGTGATAGATTGTTCTACGGATGGTAGATTATTCCGTACGACCGCCTGCAGTAAGAGGAGAGAAAAAGCGAGAGAGAAAGCGAGTTTGGAGTCGGCGGGCGAAAGATGGTTTTGGATTTCTCGGCTAACGACCGACGGACAAATTCGAATTTTACGAGGGACACTTCACGAACAGTATTGTCAGCTGTCCGTTGAGTTTCAGTGAATGGAATCGTGGTCCAGGCCACGTTGGACAAGTATTTTTGTGAGATTTATCACTGCGATAGAAGAATACATATAAAAGTATCTCAGTTCTCAGTCAACCAGATTGAAATATACAATACTTCTAATATCTACCTATAATATCTTCTAATATCTATAATATAGATAATAATATAATATAATATAATATAATATAATATAATATAATATAATATAATATCTTCTAATATCTTCTAATATCTAACTTTTTACAATTATTTTACAAATATACGTAGTACGTTATTGTAGTAATACTAATATCACACACCACCCGCTGAATATTAATATGACACATTTAATGGCCGTTTCCATCAATATTATAGTTCAATTTTAATCTCGGTTCAACTAATTCTTTATCTTTTTCTAGTAAGAATTAAAAAAAAGATGAAGAAAGTTGAATCAAAATTAAATTTAATCTACATTGGTAGAAACAGGCAAAAATCTTCTAAAATTTTGTGTTTCCAATAAGGACATAATAAGGTATCCAATATACATATACTATGATTAGGTCGAAGTGGTAAATAATCTTCGTGAAAGCCATGAAGTTCTTCTGCCGAGGGAAAAAGAAATATAACTGTAAACGTTTCTCGCAAGAAGACTATAATTTCTCGCTTGCGGTAGAATCCCCCGCAGTTCGTAATCGTTTTCCACTTTAACGCGTATCCGGGCGTGCGATGCAATGCGGTGCCAACGAGGACAGAGGAAACAGAGAGACGGCACGTGGATGCACACAACGCGATATTTCATTCGGCGTACGATCCCGCGAATTTGCGTTCTCAAAGACTTCAAAGGACCCTCTGCGAGTTACCGGATGTCCGGCTGCTTGCGACACCGTGCCCGCTTTGTGCACCGGCCCACCGGGAAGAGAAGAGGAGGAGGGAAAAAGGGATCAGACACTAGAAGAACGAGAGAATCTAGGTGAGAAGAGAAGAGAGGACAGAAACAGGAGATAGAAGAGGAGTGCTCAGCGTGGTACTCGAATTCGTCCGTGGCTTGTCGGCAAGTACGACGTAAGTCACCTACTAAACTAGCGGTTAAGTAAAGGAGGAGATGCATAATTCACCGCTGGTTAATTGGCGAGCGTTTTCACACCAGCCGCCGGTCTGTCAAAGCAGCTACAATCTGCAGCGTAGCGAGACAGCGGGTGTACCATCGTGAAAGAACGGAGAGACGACATGCTGCTTTTCTCCTGAGAATGAAAGAAACGGAGAAAAGACAAGGAGAAGGATGGAACGCGCGTATCATCACCAACACCATCGAGAACGCGTGCTGTGAAATCCTCGGTTCTCTCTGTCTTTCTCTTCTTCTCTCGGTCTTGGTTGTCCCTGCTTATAAATACTGCATCTCTCACAAGGATAAGAATAAAAGAACGAATCGGAGGACGGTAGAGAAAGAGCAGGGGATTTTGAAGAAGGTAAAAAGAAACTACTTCTGGCTGTCGACGACTGCGACAGACGACGACGCCGATGTTGCACGGCACGAACACGAGGATACTTCGCGGCGCTTCGTTAGGAGAGACGTGGCGATATGACTTATTTAATCGCCCGAGATGAACGTTAATGTTCTTCCATGAGGCGCTCGCGAATGTTTGGGGGATTACGCGCGTCGCGTCGGCGGGGCGTTGGCCGCGCAATTTACGAGGGTCGTAAGTAATGCGTGATACGTTTGC